AATGTATCCAACATGTTTTATAAAAGTTCAAGAAGTTATTTAACATGTTTTGTATTGTTCAAGGACTTATTTGTTCCAAAAATTGTCCAAGGACTTATTTGTTCCAAAAATTATCCAATGACTTATTTAACATTTTTTGAAATGTCCAAGGATTTATTTGTTCCAAAAATTGTCCAAGGACTTATTTAACATATTTTGGAATGTCCAAGGACTTATTTTGGAATGTCCAATGACTTATTTGTTCTAAAAAATTGTCCAAGAACTTATTTAACATGTTTTGAAATGTCCAAAAACTTATTTGCTCCAAAAAAAAAAATCTAAAAACTTAATTATTCTAAAAAAAAAATCCATTGATTTTTATTATATTTTTCCCTTAGAGGTAAATAAATAAGGTTCAAGGATGAGAGTTAATGGTAAATCACAAACACGGGGACAAAGTGGTAATTTACTCTTAAATATTTTGATAAGATTTGGGTTTAAATGGTTTAAAAGTCAAACACACCAACTGGAAACCGTTTCCTGGAATCATCAACAAATGGGGTTATCTTCATCAAAACGAGTCGCCGGCAAACTACGCGCCTCGCCGGAATTCAACTCAGCGTGCGACAGAGTCTACCAACAGTCCCTCTCTCTCGCCCAACACGCTTTCCCCGGCATCCCCCGCTACCAGCTGGCTTCAACTTCCGATCGTCTCTACCAAAACCTTTCGGAGCTCCACCTCACTTTGATCGACAATTGGGTCACGTATCCTCCCACCCGTTCCCAAATCGACAAAGCCCTGCCGGACAATGAAGGAGATGCAATCGGAGAGGCGGACTTTAAGGAGTTTGCGGTGGATCTGTACACGGACGCCATCGTTTCCAACGCCAGGAAGGATGTTCTACTGAAGGTGCCGGTCGGAGTTGCTGGAATCGTCGGAGTTGGGGTTGCGACGCGGTCAGGGATGGAGGTCGTCGGGACGGTGATTGGAGTTTACGCGGCCGGTGTTGCAACCTCCGTTTATCTCAGTTTGGGTGGTTAAATGGTAATCGTTTTATGTTATAACCGTGATAATGATTTATTTCACATAATTTAACCAAAAAATTGAACAGAAACCGATGTGCTTTTTTATATCTAAATAATATGTAATTAAAAAAATATTGGAACCAATGGAAGCTTTTAGCCATTTTGCAGGTTCACAAAAGGAGGTTAAATAAACAGCTACTTAATTAACTTTCTTCTATGTTTGTAATCATTTAAAGGAAAAAACCGACAAGTTTTCCAATATCGTAAACTAGAGATGCACAAAGGGATGAAGGATGGCCGAATCTATGCTTTGGCCTGTCTTCTGTGCACGAAATAGTCCTAATTTTCCGAGCATAGTCCAGTACAAAAAAGAATACCAATAGGGTTTGACCGATTAGGCTTGCTTCCGTAGTAAAAATAATGGTTTTCTAAAATAAAAATTGGGCTTTGTTGTGACCAACCCAACACAAAATAACTCAACCTTAAGCAACCCAATGTCTAATCGAGTTGTAAATTTTTCAAACTGTAGGTGTTGATGATTTGTATCACTAATATCATTTAAGTGTAATGGGATTAATTTGTTGACCAATGTAATCATGATAAATATCGAACAAGTAAGGACGGTGCGGAGTGTACATTTGTTTGAGTTTATTTTGATTTAGGGTGGCGGGGTCCAAGGGGCAGAGTCCCTGGCTGGGGTCGAGCTGCCAGGTCAGCTTGAATTTTTTTTTTATTCGGGTAATGTTGCTTTATGAAAAATGTTTCAAAAATCCGAATTTAAAATTTTTAAATCCGGTTTTTTAAACCTGGTTTAGGGTTCAAAAACTGCCGTTTTTGACAGTTTTCGTATTAAATTTCGAATTGGTCATTTTTTATTTTGAAGAGGTACACAGATTCATAACAATCGATTCTTTGCTCAAAAACCACTGATTTTATCCGATTGAAATTTCGATTGTACAATTGAAATACTTCAATCTGAAAGTGTTACACGACTTTCAGTGAAATCCAAGCAATCGAAAATCCGATATCATTTTATTTTTTGGATTTAATATGATTGTTGAATTTCTATTAATATATATATATATATATATATATATATATTAGACAATTACACTATTATGTACGTTTATTCATATACACATATTTTCAATTTATTCGTATTTCTATATAACTCATTCATATATATGTTCAGTAACTGTGAACACATATATGTAAATTGAGAAAATTAACTGAATGTGATATACGTAAGAAACATAGATAAGTTGTATCAAATGGTTGATGGTGAAAAAGAAATTATTAGTAGAGAAATAACATATTCAAGATTAGAAGAATATTTTAATGTATCAAAGTATCAATCCGACCAACCGGCCAATCCCTACGGTTTGGGTTAGGTTAAGTTGGGTTGCACTTTGGTTTGGGTTAAGTTGGATTAAGATTTTTCAGACCATAAACATTATATTCATTTGTTTAAATGTTTTTAACGATATCAACCCAACCAATCAATACTCTAATATTATTTGTTGATGCACTATACAAAGTTGAATCACATGTGTACAAATTTGTAAAGCAATTAGCAAGAAAATAAAAATTAAGGGGCCGTTTACTTAAACGCTTACCTCGGTAAACACTTACTGATAAAATTCAACATTATCGTTTACTTACCAGATAAAATTTTATTCACTAAAACGCATCGTATGCAACAATTTATCCCCGTAAGCGCTAACCATGATAAGAGTCATCGTATTCACTTACCGGGTAAGACTCTCGATTTTTGTCTTCGCTTTTACCGGGTAAGATTTTTAGTTTTTGTCATATTTATCCGATAAAATAAAGTGACTTGGTAAACACTTACCAGGTAAATGTTTGATAAACGACACTAAATTAATTAACCTCGCCCCTGTGCCTCCTCCATTCAACTCGGCCTCCCCATCTTCCTCGACTTCAACTGACAGCTGACACCAATCACATCCACCAACAATCTTCTTCGCTTGCCCTTAGGGCATCTCCAGTGCATGACACTCTACCAGAGTGTCATGGACTGCCACATCAGCATTCCACTCACCATACAACTCTATCATTTTATACCCACACTCCATAACACTCCAATGAGTTTAATGGATTTCCACATCATATATATATATATATATATATATATA